CAATTCCTCTACAAGCTATAGATCATTACTGAACCCATCTTATCACTATTCACTGAGATATGCTTGTACCACACACACGATTCTGGATGTACAGTACAAGACTACACACACCTGTGTGTACTCATTACTTCCATTCCTCTCCTTACTCTCACGTTGGAACATCATTAATTCAAGGGAAAAGAAGTTTTAAGGTTTTAACAGTCCAAAGCCCAAGCAATGATTAGTTATCACAGTGGAACAGGGGGTCTCCACTCAGAACATGGGTCAAAGGTCTACCCATGGCAAAAAAAATTCTATGCTCATCCACTTTCTTTCAACTGTTTCTTCTATCTGCAGAATGCAGATATATTCTTAACCACGTTTCCTCTTCCAGTCCACTCCTTTGAAGTCAATCTACATTCGGTTCTTTATTTTTGCACCAATAATCTCACAGTGTCAATGTCATGTTCTCTCATCTAATCTCCAAAACCACACTTGGCTTTGCAAATGCCTTCATATTTGTTATTCAACATACCGTAAGCACAACATTCCCCCTGATCTCCACCCATCTTTTGTTCAAGTTCTCCCAACAACTTTTTACCTTATGCCTGAACTATTCAGTCATTCTTCGTGAAGCTGGGAGTGGTTTGACAACATACCAACAAGCGTTTTACTTTTTCCATATCACTTCCCACAACAGAAAAATCACAGCAAATTCCTTCATTCTTCCAATCCCAATTAAAAAGTTATGAAAAAGGAGGAAAAAACCTGGTGAGTACATGTTAACTGAAAGCCAGTGTGGTGAAATGGTTTGAGCACTGGACTATAACTTTGGAGACTAGGGTTTGAATCCCTGCTCTGCCATGGAAACCCACTGAGTGACCTAGAGCATGTCTCAGACTCTCAGACTCAGAGGAAGGCAAAGGAAAAACCCACTGAACAAATCTTGTCAAGAAAACCCTGTGAAATGTTTGCCTTTGGGTTGTCATAGGTTGGAAATGACCTGAAGGCACACAATAACAAAGACATTAATTACAATTAATGAGCATGCTGCCAATGAAAAGTATCTGCTGGGCTGAACCACTCAAAATACAAAGTGTCACTGTGCTGGAAGGGTTAGTGTGAGACTAGGACTTCTGGAGCTAAGCTAAGAGCTTCTGGTTCAAGTCTCCACTGTACTATGAATTCATCGAGTGACGTTGGGCCAACCACTCACTTTCTCAGCCTAATCGGACAGTGTTATTATGAGGATAAAAGTGGGGAAGTGAAGAGCCATGCTGGAGGAAATGTGGGATATAAATTTCCTCCAGTCTCTAGAGGAAAAGTGGCATATGAATATAATAGTAAACAAATGAGTGAACATCATAAAGGCTGTGCGTGTGCAAATGCATCTTCAAGTAGTCCCTCAGCTTACAGGAACCCTACTGCTGTCATGTGCCTTCATTTCTGATTTATGGCAATCCTAAGGTGAACCTATCATGGAGTTTTCTTGGCAAATTTCTCCAGAGTGGGTTTGCCCTTGCCTTCCTCTAAGACTGAGAGTGTGACTTGCCCAAGGTCACCAGTCGGTTTATATGGCTGAGCCAGGATTCAAACCCTGGTCTTCAGAGTTGTAGTCTAATCCTCAAATTACACCATGCTGGCTCTCAAAAACCTCATTACAACATCAGAAATACACAGTGAACCTCTGCAGCAGTGCAACGGTAGCAAGAAGAATTGTTAATGGGGATCTTATTTCACACACTTCATATATGACAGAGCCAGTGTGTAGTGGTTTGAGTGTTGGACTACGACTCAGGAGACCTATAATGGGGTTCAATTCCCAGCTTGGCCATGAAACCCACTGAGTGACCTTGGGCAAGCCACACTCTCTCATCCTCAGGTGAAGGCAATGGCAAACTCTCTCTGAACATATCTTGCCAAGAAAACCCCATGATGATAGGTCCACTTTAGGGTTGCCGTAAGTCACAAACGATTTGAAGACATACAACAACAGTAACAACAACACCTCATAAAGCTTCATCATTACCTGGGCCTGTTAGGACAGATGAACTTGAAGTTCAACAATATCAAGAGGGCACTAAGTTGCTCACTCATGTGTTGACAATGCATTTTGTGGTGTGTCCTGGGAGCATGTAAGTACGTGAAAAGATAATCACTTGCTGATACAAATGGTGCTTATATTTCTGTGTACTTGTGGAAAAAGTGAAGCTTGATCACACTCTGTCGGCCTCAGGGGAAGGAAATGACAACACTCCTCTGAATAAACCTTGTCAAGAAAACCCCATTATAGGCTCATCTTAAGGTCATGATAAGTCAGGAAGAACTTGAAGGCACACAACAACAAAGACCCCATAAAGATTCATCATTGCCTAGGCTTGTTAGGACTAATGGGACTTGAATCTGAACATCTAGAGGGCACAAAATTGGTCCTTCCTGCACAGACAATGCATTTTGTGGTGTCTCAGCAATTTTGGAGAAAGTGAAGCCTAATCACACACTTTCAGCCTTAGAGGGTGACAATAACAAAAACTGCTCTGAAGAAACCTTGCCAAGAAAATCTCATGATGATAGATTTGCCGAAATGACTTGAAGGGCACATAACAACAACAACAAAGACCCCATAAAGCTTCACCATTTCCTGGGCTTGTTAGGACTGATGGGACTTGAACAACAACAACATCTACAGGGCACCAAGTTGCTAACTCCTGTGTAGAGAAGGCATTTTGTGGTGTCTCAGCAATTTTGGAGGAAGTGGAGCCTAATCACACTCTCTCTAGCCTCAAGGGAAGAAGACAAGGTCAAACCCCCTCTGAAGAAACATTGCCAAGGGGACATACTAAAACAAATGACAGTACTTGCCCATACAGAAACCATACTTGCCCACAGAGAATCATTACAGAATACATGGCTATAATTACAGAATACTTGCCCATAGAGATACACTGCTTATAGGGAAACATAGGAAACATCTTGAATGATTCCCTATGGGCAAGTACTGTCATTTGTTTTAGTACATCCCATTGCCAAGAAAACTCCATGACAGGGTAGCCTTAGGGCCACCACAAGTCCGCCAGCGTGGTGTAGTGCTTTGAGTGGTGGACTGTGACTCTGGAGACCAGGGTTCAATTCCAGTTCTGCTATGAAGCCCTCTGGGTGACCTTGGGCAAGACACACTCTCTCAGCCACAGGGGAAGAAGGCAAGGACAAACACCCTCTGGGGAAACCTTGCCAAGAAAACCCAATGATAGGGTCGCCATAAGTCAAAAACGACTTGAAGGCACACAACAGCAACAACAAAGACCCCAGCAGGGGTAGGCAACCTTTCCCCTTTAAGGGCCAAGGGACTTCAGCTCCCAGAATCCCAGGAGCTACTGGCCAACATGGGACTATTGGCCAAGATGGCTGAGGCTTCTGGGAGCTGAAGTCCCTCGGCCCTTAAAGGGGAAAGGTTGCCTACCCCCACCATAAAGCTTCACCAATGCCTGGGCTTGTTAGGGCTGATGGGACTTGAACCTCAACAATATCTAGAGGGCACTAAGTTGTTCACTGCTGTGTAGACAATACATTTTGTGGTGTCTCTTGTGGTCTGCCTGGGAGCAAATAAGTACGTGGAGCGATAATCACTTGCTGGTGCAAAACAGTGCTTGTACTTCTGAGGAACGGGAATCCTAATCACACTCTCTCAGCCTCAGAGGATGGCAAGGGCAAGCCTCCCGTGAACAAATCTTGCCAAGAGAACCCTTGGGCAGGTTCGCCTTGGGGTCGCCCTAAG